CTACTATATCATAATTCTCCACGACATCGTTTTAAGATCGTAACACTTTCTTATTTGAGAAATCTATGCAAATTATGTTTCGCGACGACACATTTATTACCAGGGTGGTTATGTTGCCATCACATTTTAATGGCCACCACATTTTAATTGCAATTAAATTTCTTAATTTTTGTTATTATAACAATTATTTTTATAACTTTTTTTGTCGAATTATTATCTTTAACCTTCCATTAATTAGTACGGCTCGTCCTTGATAATAATTTATATCAAAATATTTTATTTTTTCATATTTTGAAACAAGAAAAAATTATTTTTTGCACTTTTTGTTTAGTTATTTTTTAGAATATAGTGTAAGAAAAAAAATTATGATGTGAATATAATTATTCTTGTTACAGTCACGTCTGATGCCAATTTACGGAAGTGTCATCAGCAGATCCAATTTTTTGACTCAATCTTTCTTTATCAATAGAGAGAAAAAATTGAGATGCATGAAAATTTCAAGTTGGAGAATAAAATATTTATAATTTTGAGGTGGTCAGATTTTAGGTTTGCTTTCCAGTGATCATCAGTTCGAGTCCCTTCAGAATCACTGAGGTGAGTACTCAACCTTAAACTTTAGCGTCCTGTGAAATTAGTCGAAGTGGGCGCAAATTGACCCCAACATCCATGATTATCAGAAAAAAATAATAAAATATTTATGGATCAAACAAAACGCTGCTTACTTATATAGTGGCCAGCCAACGAACCAACCTACTATGTATGTGTCCGATTATCATTTTTTTTTCGATATTTTCCACGTAATATAAATTGTCACGTGTACCCTCCTCTAAGTTGGAAATCCCCATATACATTTCCTAACTAGAGTACAAAGCAATGGCATCCGTGTCAATTTGCAGAAATTCATCCCTATGAGGATGAAAAAACAATCTACGTAACGTTAATATGACATTAAATAATATGAGTCATTAAATGATAGGAATGATTTAATTTCACTTTTCATTTAACATATCATCATCTAAACTGTGTTTTCATCCCCACCAAAGATAGAATAACATTACTCATATTTTATACCTCCAAAATAGATGCATGTGAGTGTACATTCGGTGTAAAAACAAAGGACCCAACTGGAGGCATTTCATTATTTCAATTCAGTAGCATTTTGATTCTCTTAGGCATTATCCTTCTTCCTGGTTTTTTTCTCCTGTATTACTGGAATAGGAGTGATGGAAAACCTGAATGTGGCGAGCTCGGATCTGAGGACAAAATTCTTAGAGGTCTACTCCAGGTTGAAATCTGAGCTGTTGAATGATCCAGCTTTCGAATGGACGGATAATTCACGCCAATGGGTTGAACGAGTGAGTTTTATTTTGCTTTTTGTAATTTACTCTCTGGCCTAGGTAATAAATTGATATATGGTGCTGAAATTCTTTTGAATATTTGCTTTATTTTGATACCAAAATTGAATTCAGCGATAATTAGATTACGGATTAAATTTTAGAACTTCACCTAATAACTGAAATGGTAGAGCAGGAGGGTTCGAGAATGATGGAAATAGAGAAGTAGAAAAATCATAAATTAAGTCCTTCTTGATCTTGACAAGGAGATAATATTACTAAAAAGGTTAATTATTGATTGATTTATTTTACTTGTTGGGTATGTGTGATGTGTTATTTTTGAAATATTCTGTAGCTGTTTTGTAGAGAAGATGCTTAATTA